GTAATGTTTACTGTAATGAACCTATTACCAATAAGTTACAACAACACTTGTCTCTTGAATACTAATGTCCACCTTTACTGGAATTCAATCCGGATACTTCAAACTAGCGATGCGCGAATCCGAATGATTTTGTTATTCGAATAATTAGTAATTACTAATTCTATAATTCGATTAGTAATATACTAATATCCATATTCGAATGATTTTACTAATTAGTAACTAATAACAACAAAGCCCATTCCCTGCACCCACTACTATTAAAGCACTACGTTAGCGATAACGAAGATGACGGAAAAAAGCAACTATTAAATACATTAATTTTCCACACATTTATTTGTACTATATATAATAACGATCAGTAATCACCTACACATAACAACTTACTTTCAATCCTACTATCGACAATTGGTAATTTTTACTCCATTTAAATTGGCAACATTCTTACCCATTCCTATCGACTCGTACATCATTGACTACTAATGAATGAAATTAGTAGTCGAATAATTTTCAAATAATTCGAATAATCCAAATGATTTGCTAAGTCGAATAATTAGTATAGTCGCACATCGCTACTTCAAACGTAAGGCACTAACACATAAGCTATAATACAAACTTTATTATATACATATTGAACAATATTTTGATGTGTTGAAATCAAGTTTTCTATAATTAGCTCAAAAATGTTAATGAAATGTATTCGTACTCAATGTTTTTAGCAAAAGAGTTCATTTAATTGGAATTTTTAAGACGAAGCAGACATTCACCAGAGGAAGACTGTTTAAACTGACTTCTACTTGGTACCTTTGTCCTTTTCGTGTTTCCATCGTAAAATAACTGCGCTTGTATGTCTGAGCTTTAGTTCGAAGAGTAGAATATGGCAGTGAATTTATTTATTTATTTATTACAGGGTACGAAAGCACAATACCATAGTCCTTATGAGTGACAATGCGTAAGGGATGCCATGGGTGTCACAAAGTATTCTGTGCTTTTCGCATCTACAGGTGACGGTTAATATTTTCTTTCAGGAAGACCGTTATTTGTTTGCTATTCTAATTTCAAGAAAAAAAAATCAACCGAGAGAAATAACTTTTCTAGAATTCGCCAATTATTCTCTTCTTATATTAAAATATAAGCTTTTATCTATGGCTTTGTCCGCGTCATTGGACTATATTTACTAACTGGTACATGTATATAAAGTAACCTATCTCCTTCTCTACCTCCACATAGAATGTGGATAGCAAATTTTATAACAATTGATTAAGTCGCTAAGATGCTAAGTTCACATTTGTACCTATTTACCTTATTACCATATTTGTAAAAATATTATATATATTTTGTATCTAGTATATATATTATCTGTGCTCTATCTATATATCAAGTAAATAATTGGCAAATTCGAGAAAAATAGAAATGTAAGAAATATAAATAAATTGGTAACGAAATAATCTTTCCGACCTAATAAAAATAATTATAGACTACCGCATTAGAGCACAGGTCATTGAATTCAATGTCCTCAACAGGAGTTATGTCGAATTGCGTAAGACGAGAGTTATTCGAGTCCGAGTTGTTGCGAATCGGCAAATAACGGTTTTTTAATCAGGCCTGATTTTTTGCCTAAATCTAAGCTACATTTATTTGTTTCTACATTCCATACTGGTGCAATAATTTACAAAATGATTTAATGATCTATATGATACTCGTATCTAAACTAATATTAAAAGAGGAAAGATTTGATTCTTTTTTGTTTGTATTGAGTTGTATTGTAAAATTTCCATTTTAAAAATTCTTTCACTTATAGAAAATATTCTATGTCGTATGGTCCCAACATAGTATGGGCCATTCCTTCCATTGTCGTCGGTGTCATAAGCAGTGTCTAAATAAACTTAATGGTCGAGGGAAGGACAACAGTATCCCTCTAAAAATATCACCAGATCGTAACTTGCCAACCCGTTTGCCAAGAGTGGCAACTACTGGCAAACCGCCCCTTATGAGGGGGGGGGGGGGCATATGGAAGAGGGGGGGGGCTCAGAAGTGAACGGTTAAAAGCTAATATGATGATGATAAGCTATATTATCAACGTGTAACATAGGCTGTATTTTTTTTAAAAAATACCGTGCTGGGTTAGGTCGATCATTAGAATAATTAGGTGACTAAAGGCTGATACAACAACATCACATACATATATTATATAAAGTAATATTATGTATTACGTATACCTAATTAATTAATAATCACGTAATAATTTTCATTAGAATTCAACATTAAACACCTGAATAAAGTTTGCATTACTTAACTGTTATACAATGCTAACCCTTGATCAAAATCCATACAATTTTGAATTTAAACCTAATTGAATTAAGGTTTAAATGAATTAGAATTAATATAATGTTGATAATAACAAAGATAAAATGCGTAGGGCCATTAGACAGCAACTCAATTAAGACGAAAGATTAAATATAATTCAGCTGCGGCTCTCAAAATTACTTTATTTGGCCCATGTTCAAAGGAGCATGATAATTTAATATATATTTTATATTATAAATACAGATTACAAACTTATTGGCTACGGTATTTTTCTTTTCTTATCTTTAAATCCGCATCTGTTTCCTTTACTTCTTCTAAACCAAACAACTGTCTTTGATACATTTAGCTATTCTTTTTACTAAATATTTTTTGATAAAATACATATAATAATACTACTTCGAGTATATTCAAAACTGAGATAGATAGCTAGTTAAACGTAATGAAATCATATTAGACTAAAACTACGATACCCTGTACATACATCTATATTGACAGAGAATCTATACTCATCGCCTACCAGCAGCCGTATTATGAACTCTTATTTCCAGGCAGATTACGGCGTAAATTGAACTGCCTTGCTAATTCATATTATGAACGCTACAAACCAGCCAGTCAGCGGTCACGTGACAGTTGAGCGACATCTGCCCGTATTTTGGCTGGTTATTTCGTATTACGAGCTCCTGATTTGACATTTCTACGCGTCATTTGACTATTTAAAACTTGTTTACAAACCATTCAGTTTACGGCGTCTTCAAGTGCCTTTTTTTGAATTGTTTTGTGTGTTTTCTAGATATGAAAGACTTATTTGTATTCAGTTTGCATTGATTTGAAGTGTTTTTTTTTTTGTTTCTAATTTATTAAGTTTGTGTGTTCAAGTTTGTTAAGTGTTTGTAGTTCAGTATGTCTGATGAAGGTGAAATTTTAGAATTTTTGGAAATGGACGCTATGTATGAAGCAGAACAGCGAAAAATTAAAAGAAGACGATTGCGAGACCAATCCAATCCCTTTGATATTGACGATGAGCAATTTATAAAACGATATCGTCTTAGCAAAGGTTTGGTATACAGTCTCTGCGATGAGCTTAGGCCTCATATGGCAGGATCATCAAAGTCCACAGATTTGACATTGGAGACTAAGGTTACACTTTTACCTTATTATGATGATATTGTCATTAATATATTTTCTTAAATTAACTGTGACTTAGTTGACTGTCAACTTTTTTCTATTTTAGGTTTTGGTAGCATTGTCGTTTTTCGCAACGGGCTCTTATCAACGCCCAATTGGCGATATTGCTGGCCATTCTATCGCCCAACCTACAGTTTCTATAATAATAAAACAAATTACAAAATTATTAAATTTGCCTGAAATACAGGCAAAATATATTAAATTTCCGAGGACGTCAGAGGAGCGAAGAGCTAACATCATAAGGTATTTTTTTATTATATTATTAATAAAGTATTAACCTCCACAAAAATAACTAAGATTTATTAATACAAGCTATTCCTTCTATCCATTATTACTGAACACATCTCTTTTATAATAATAGCTTTTCTTATAAACATACTAGAAAATATTTTGTAATGAAAAAAGTATTTTCAAAAGGAATTATTAAAGAATGAACCTAATAATTTGTTATAGATTTTATAATAAATTTGGAATGCCAGGAGTGTTGGGGTGTATCGATTGTACACATGTTGCAATTGTACGCCCAACTGAGAACGAGGAGAGATACTACTGTAGAAAACAGTATCATTCGCTAAATGTACAGTTGGTATGTTAATTTATTATGTTTGATGCTTGTTGATTTCAATTACACTACATTAAATTTTATACACACCAATATTTAATTTTGTGATATATATAAATGTACTAAATTAATTCATATGAGCTTTATTACATTTATAAAACAAAAATTAAAATTTACAGTTATGTTAAATATACATTATACTAACTTATAAAACACATTAAACAATAATTTTATTATTAATACATATAATTTACATCACACTTATAATTAAATATTTGACTAATATACTTATTTCATATACAATTTTAATAACTTAAGATTTATGTTCTTCTGTCATGTTATTAATCTGAAAAAAAAAAAAACATTTTAGATTAGTAATGCTGACATGGAAATTATAAGTGTGGATGCCAGCTATGGAGGAGCTACTCATGACTCCTTCATTTGGACAAATCATCCCCTAAGACAGCATTTAGAACAGTTAAGCAGAAATGAGTCCATTTGGTTACTTGGTGAGAATTGATTTGTATTATAAAAATATTAAAATTGTGTTTACTCATTACTGATTTTAGAACTTTAATACTTTTTGTAAAGATTTTTTTTTTTTTTTTTGTATTATTAACATGCTATATTTATTTTTAGGTGATTCAGGATATGCTCTTAGAAAGTATATGATGACTCCCATTACAAATACTGTCCCAGGGTCACAAGAAGCACATTACACCAGTGTACATGTGAGGACAAGAAATGTGATTGAGAGGACAATTGGACTCTTGAAAGCTAGATTCCGTTGCCTGCTTGTACACAGAGTACTTCATTATGCCCCTGAGGTGGCAGCATCTATAGTGAATGCTTGTGTGGTATTGCATAATATGACAGTAAAGTCTAATATACCAGCACCGACACTCACTGATGAAGATGCTACATCAGAGGGCACAATGCAGCTCCATCATGCTCACCATGATCTGTCTCAGTCTTCAAGTGTAGAATTAAATGAAGGTTTAGCTGCCAGGCGCGCCCTCGTTTCTCGCCTCTGGAGTTCTCGAGCTTCTACAAATTAAAAAAAAAATATAGATTACTCTGAGAAGTAGACATTAGGCATTTTAGTTCTTAGCATATTTATTAATTTCTTTTTTATTTCATTTATAGAATGAACATTAATTTTAAATGTTTTATATAAATAGTTTATTACTTCTAATTGCATTTTTAATATAATTATATTACTCTGATAAAAAGTCTATTTATATTCATAGAATTTTAGTTGATATAACAAAACAGAAATATTGTTTGAGTTTGTATATTTCTACTGTATGTTCTCCATAAATTTGTAATAAACACCAAATATTCTCTTAGATATATTATATAAAATATGGAAAAAGTAATATAAGATATTAAAAAAAAAAAATTATACAATGAAAATACTGAAATAATGTTGTTGTTTTACCTGTTAATTGATTCAGCTATCCTATTTAATGTATTGAGCATTTGCTCCATAATAGCTGTCTGTCTTCTTTGTTCTTCTAGTCGTGACCTTGCAACATCTATTAAAGCATTCCTTGCTGCCTCCATGCTAACAGTTCTCTGTTGTCTTGGTCTACGACGTGTCGGGCGAGACGGAGGGGCTTCTGTAGGAACTTCTTCTATTTGAGGATGTGGAAGCTCTTCAGTTCCTGTGTTTTGTGTATCTATAGTTGTTATATGTATGTCTCCTCTGGACTCTGACTCTGATGCAGTGATCTCAATCATTACTGCATCAGAGTCGGTGTCCAGAGGTTCTGATCTCAATGCAGTGCCACTAGTACTTGGTATCTGAAAATAATATAAATTTATTTTCATTTCTATGCAATTTATTCTATATATAATTATAATATTGAATAATTTATGGTAATTTCGGTCAGGGTCATATGTTAATAAAGGAAACTATTATTGTAATTGTATTTCTTAACCCTTAAATACATGAAGTTTCAAATTTGATACCGGTATTATAAATCATATTGGGCGCCTACAATCGATTTTATTTTAATATTTGGCTGTTTACATGTTACCAGTTTTTTTCAAAATAAAAATATAAAAATATCGTTTTGAATTTTTTTTACTATTTTTCCCCATTAGTAAACACAGTAAAGGATACACTTATATTTTTTTAATTTGATTTAAAAAATCAGGCTTTTAAGGGTTAAATATTGTTAATTAATTAAGATAGTATGCTTCCAAATGAAATAAATAAAATATCAAATAGGCAGAAAGTGTCAGCCATTTAGGAGAAAGAATAAATATTTATTAGGACTTACAGATGGTAGATATGAATTAAAAGTTTACTCTCTAAAACTGATTTATGTGCATGTGATGAATCATAAAATTATATAAAACATAGAAGCCTCTGGTACTCTACTTTTCTTTACCTACTTTGCAAGAGACTTATTGTGAACACAGAATTTATATTAAAAATTCCTACAATTTACTTACGTTTGGAAATGGGTCGACTTGTACATTACTCAAGCCCGAACCGAAACCTGCCCCTAAAATGCTCAAGAACTTTTGTTCTAGTGCATCCAAGGGTGGAACATTCGAAGGTCCACCTCCAGTACGGTTTTGAGACAGACGTACTGCAGCAACTCTTCTTTTTAATTTAGCTTTATAATCCACCCAATACTGTAAATATATTTTTGATATTATATAAGTTGATTATAATTTGTTATTAAAAATTAAAAACAATAAGTTTTTGTAATACTTACATTTGACCATCCTTTCCAGTCTTTAAAAGCTCCTTCTCCCAATGAATTTAATGCTTCTGCGACTTCTTCCCACATACGTTTTGCGTATTCTCGCGCTTGGGCAGATTTATTAAAACCGACAGCCACGTCCTTATTGGAATTTAAAAATTCCCACAGAATTTCTAACTGCCGGTACGTTACGCGACGACGTGTGTGAGAATTTTCAGCAGAAGTTGATCTGCGATTTAATTAAAATAATTAAGTCTTACATTAATTTAATATAGCATTTTTTTAGCACACAATATATGTAGAAAAACACTAAAAACACTTACGCCATGATATATATTTTTCTTGTTGATAAACAAAAAATATTTTGTAAAAATTAACTGACTACGAACTATTTGGAATGCAGCCAAGTAATGAAATAGTTTCACAGTTTCAAACTCCACTTCAAAAAATTCATATTCAAGTGGATTCGGCGCGGAATTTTAAGTGGATCAACAACGTCATGTAGCTACGTTCGAAAATGTGCACGAAATGCATTCTAAGATATAATTCGAAACGTTCAAAAAGATAACGAGAATATTTTAATTAATAACGTAAATTTATCTATCTAATAATGTATCGTAATAATTGCATTTTCGTTATATTTATTTAACCACTACCATGTCAAAACTATGTGAACATAAAAACCGTAACTTCCCGTAAAAATTCTTGTGTTGTTTCTGAACGAATGGAGTGTAAATGAATAACCAGCCATAGACAAATTATCCAGGCAGAAGTCGGATTGTTTTTTGTACGTCATAATACGAAAAAGAACAAGGCAGTTTACGGCCGTAAAGTGAATTGCCTGGAACTTGACTGGTTTTTTAAAAGTTCATAATACGACTGCAGATAGGATCTAGGAGTAAAGAAGAGATCTATAGTTTTTACTACTGACTACAGTAAGAGATTCTTCAAAAACGGTTGAAGTTTTTTCAGTGTGGCTCTCTCTATATGTTGCAAATTACAGTACGGTAACCTCCATATACGAGGATAACTGTTCAATGAATAACAAAAGAATCTTTGCTTTATGCCTTAAACAGACTTTCCTTACTTCTAGAACTGAATTTAAAAAGAAGGAGATTCTTAATTCGATTGTATTTTTTTTTATGTTTGTTTTTTATGTATGTCATAACTCCGTCAATTAGGAACCGATTTGTTAAAATTCTTCTTTATCTGAAAGGATATACTTACAGATCGCATAGAAATTTTAACAAAATCGGTTCCCTAGTTTATTTTTTAAATCAAATTTATTAATCACTCATTGTCACAATTGAAGTAATTTTTTTTTGTGAAACGCAATCTTAATAATAACATATTGAAATTTATGTTCGGGACTAAAATCGCGTTGCGTTAAATCCCGAAAATGAGTTTAAATAATTAACATAACTTTAAGCTATGTATTATTAACAATATTTGAGGTTTTTTTTTTAGATTTATACTCTAAGTACCAATCGGATAGTTCTCGAAACGGATATAACACTTAGATTAACATAGACAGGTGCTTTACTAAGCCACCGTGACTGTTTCCACTGTATTACGACACATTCGTAACCACAAGGCGTTAAATAAAAACTTATCTCGACAATAACGCTGACAAAACAAAAGGCCCTTTTGTGTCGCTGTCCCAGCTATAGATTTTTGGATACGATTACATTACACTATTCATAAAGTGTCACAATATTCAGAACTGATGTATTCATCTGGGAAATATAGATAATAATTAAAAAAAAACTATTATTTGTATTATTATTATATTCCTTTTCAAAAGGCCGGCAGCACACCTGCAATGCCGCTGGTGTTGTGGGTGATCATGGGCGGCGGTAGTCACTTACCCTCAGGTGAGCCGCATGCTCGTTTGCTCCCTGTGTTGTAAAAAATAAAAAATAAAAAAAACCTTAGTTCGGCTTTAGACAGGCTGCCAAATTATAATTTATTTACGAAAATATGTGATAAGTTAAATCAATTTTATTTATTTATTCTTTATTGACCACATTACAAAAAAATTTTTGGTACAAAAGATGGACTTAGTACATTCTTTCTCAGTCAACTTTTGGAAAAACAGAAATGTAATTTTTATGTAACAATCATTAATCAATCATCAATAATCATTAGTTATTGTCTGTCCATTGCTGAACATAGACCATATTATAATAATGAGTATACCTTATTTGCATTATACAATATAGGAAATAAGCAAGACAATTTACAAACACAACGATACAATTGTATAAGTACAGGGGGGAAAGGGATTGTTAGTAATGAGGTCTAATAGCCCAATTACTAGCAATATACCCTCTCAGATCGACCTCCACGCGGTTCCCCTTGGAAACCATCATGGTTAATTCTTGTCGAATTCAACATGGTAGGCCAACTAACCTGCATTCATTCTTACCTATCATCTTCCACTGGTGTCCCGTCGGTGTATACCAATAGCGCGGGCGTGGTTACCATTCCATTTTCACCCATTGAAACAATTGTATAAGTACAACAAGGCGGTTTTATTGCTGACAGCAATCTTTTCAAGACAACCTTAAGATAATGGACTAATTGTTGTGCAAGTAGGTATGATATATATATATATTAAATAATAATAGAAATATTTGAGTGATTTAGTTGAGAGTTAAAGTATACGACTATTTTTACGCTATATATCTTACAGAATGAACAAAGCCTATCTAAATATCTATCCGTACTTCATCCATTTCCACAAGAATTAACATTATTTACCTATTATTGGGACACTATTATAATTTATTTACTGTGCTCAAAACATTAAATAGTAGCGGAATTAAATACCATTATCATTACCACACCACTTTAAGCGAGATCACAATCTCAGTGAAAAAATAAATTAATGTGGAAAGAACTAATATTTTTTACCTACAATACTGTTAAAATCTGATAAAATGTATTTTAATTAGACATTTCATAATATAGAACACATTGCTAAAAATATTTTTATTTATAACATTTTAATGACAAGTTCGAAATTAAATATTTGCACGCCACAGAGTTGAATATAGAGATGCTGTTGTTAACATTAAATACTTCTAATGTAATAACCTATATTCAAGTAAATAAAGTTATCATTCATTCATGCTATAAATTTCAGTTGCAATATAGCGTATGACGCCATCTAGTATTGAATAGCTGAATCAATTTATGTATGTCAATAAATTATCTATTTTTTCCTATGGATTTTTTATCATTACATTAAACTTTACATATATTACTATTGTATTTTTTATTGTATTGTATTTACTATTGTAGTACGATTTTATCAGCATGTTCGGAATTATGTCCTTTGTTCAAGATAAGATGTAATAGCCTATTTATAACTTTCTGCGTCCCAAAGACTACGTCTACGCAAAATTTTATAACGATTGATCGAGACGTTAAAACATTTAGAAATAACACACAAAAATAACAATAACAAAAAGAAATAAAAGATAAATTAAAATCGAACTTTCACCTTTATTACATAAGTAAGGATTACTTGATAGCTAAACGTAACAAGCGTGTGACCATACAAAAATGGAATGGCGTCTTAAATCAAAGGAAGTCATTGTGGGCATTGTACAATGCAAATAGGTACTTTCACTTTTTTTACACTTATATTATCTACAAATCAAGCATGATCGTTATCAGTTGGCAAACTTAATAAACACTTTAAACAACCGGCAATGATTTCAAAGTATTTCCGCCCCCGTTGGTTTATGGGCAGTAAAACTTATTTAAGTTGATCACAAAATGTGTTTATTCCGAGCTTGTCTTTGTTTATGACTTTCCTTTAATTGTAGTGATTTATAATGCATGCAAATCGAAATGATCTTTACACAGATATAAATTGGAATTATTTTAATTATAAATAATTTTCATTTTTATATTTAGAATAAACAAAATATTTTCCTGAGAGCTAGTGGTTCGCTCTTTTACCTGTAATTGCGTCACGTTAAATCCTGGTCGTGAATTTAAATATACTCTTTTATGAAATACTAAATATTAAGTAGCCTGTGTAAAAACATAGGCCACTTTCTGGAAAAAGATTAAAGACTTCTTCATTCATCGATTTCGATGTCCCCCAAATATCATGTTGATTTTTTGGGCTGTTAAGGAGCCTAGAAGCAATAAATACTATTACACTTCTTAGAATTGTTGTAGGAAATCATTTGGGAAGAAGAAAAACAAAAATTATTGCGGTAAATCATCAAATCCCACAGACTAGTTAGAACAAATTACGTATAGTTAATATTAGTTGCATATACATTTTACTTCCCTATTATGTATATCATGACAAAAAATCGTACCGTGTCGTGTCGTGCTACGATAAATTAAAAACGCCCGTCACATATTACTCGTAATAGTGGTTATGTCTTGATCTGCATTATCCGTTATAATAGAGCGTAACTTTGTACAATAGTCGTGTATTTAGGTACTTCGGTCCCACAATGTGTTGTGTCCCTGCCTTGAAAGGTGGGACCGTCATTATCATCATATCAGCCAATAACTGCTAAACGTAAGCCTTTCCCAGAAGAGAAGTTTTGCCAATAGTTTCCATGCTTGGCAGGCAAGTTGTTAACCGCAGTTAAGTTCTTAATAATATTTTAAGAGCTGCTGCTCATTCCTCGACCATTAAGTTCCCTTAGTCGCCTCTTACAACACCCACGAGAAAGGAAGGGGTGGCGTATCTAATGCCGGGATCACACGGCGGTGTAATATGTCAGTGAAAATTACAAGATATGTAGGCACAACATTTTAGTCCCTAAGGATGGCAATACCATGGCCACCACAATCTATTCTGTAATGTCCATGGTGCTATTCATGAATAACGATTACCACTTTCCATCAAGTGGACCATCAGCTTGTTTTCCATTCCTTGTTCCATATTTATATATACTTGTATATTATTTGAAAAGTCCGTTCTGTTTAATGTAGCTCTATGTACCAAAGTCACCTACTCACGCAATCTGTTCGGGATGCCAGGTGAACTGGTACCATTACGCGTATTGTCTCTATAAAATGTCACCAACCCCAAAAGTTAGTATTTATCTAGATAACGATCTCTTCAGTTGTGTACTCTTGACAGTCATACACACTTACTACTGGGTTGTGGTTTTCAGTGATGGATTGCCTATCAAGTTCTTCTTGGTAATTGAAGTCCTCGCAATGTGTCTATGTCTACTTCTGTCTTGGCAGTACGAGAGCATCCACAATTGTCATTTTTTTTTTGATGGGTGAAAATGGAATAGTAACCCCGTCTGCGCTAACGGGATACGCTGGCGGAGCACCAGTGAAGGGTGATCGATGAGAATGAAAATAGGCCAGTT